CCCAAACACCACCCAGAGCTGCATCAGCCCAACTTCCTGCCTTCCCAGCCCCTCCTTCCCGGACACAGTGCCCCTGCCCTCGTCACTCCCCTCCCTCGTTCCTCGCCCTCCCCGCTTCACCCACATCCACCCCTCACCCCTCCATCCCTCCCCCTAGAGGTGGTGCCTCCTGGGACACTCACATCAATGGTCTTTATTATCACCATCTGCTCAGCCTCCTTGCAGGCCTTCTCGGCCTTCTTAATGCTCTCCGGGGTCCACTCGACGTTGTTTATGGCCATCATGCCCTCCATGGAACTGCCGTGGGCAGGGGTCGGGGAACAGACGATAGTTTAGGGTCGACTTAAGGCTCTGACAAAGCGTGTGTCAAATGCCCTCGCTTGTGTTAGCATCGGTTCCTCGTTGGTATAAGCCATCAGGACAGTCTAACGACTCAGCGAGATGGTCATGAGTTTGGCAGAAGGAAAAATATCACGAGAACTCAAAGATGAGAACTTTGTAAGCGAAAAAAATAAAAGAACTTTCCGACTCTTTAAAGAAGCGGTTCTTAAGTCGGGGGCCATGAAGTCTGAGAAAGTTAATGGGGTGACTCGGGGAACCAGCCAATGCCCTGGCACTGTCTGTGAAATGGGGGTGTGTCTGCACAGAGGCACGTTTTTCTTGGAGAGGAGTTTCAGAGCTTTCACCAGAGTCTCCGAGAGGACCCTTCCCCCCAAATAATTCAGAGTCACTAAGTAAGCACAGTCTTTGCCTGAATCAGGTTGTACAGGAGAAAGAGGCAGATGGAAAATTCATACACAAGTGACCTAACTCTAGAGGTCACACGTGAGGGTCTTATGGTCCGGGATGACTCACTCTGAAACCTCCTCCCCCAGCTCATGGGCCACGTAGATGATGTCAGGGTACCCCATGCAGCTGGAGATGTTGTTTCGGGGGTAGTAGAAGAGGAAGATGAGGCACATCTCATTAATGGTGCTGGGACCCCCCTGGAGAAGAAGAGAGAGACCGATGGAGAGACAAAGGTACAGAGGCACGCGGAGAGAGGGGGACGAGGCGGGTGGGGACAGTTTAGTTGGCCACCCTACCAATGATGCTTGTCCTTTTCCCGTAACCTAGAGCCTGCTCACCGGTCCATACTTACTACTCCTTACCACACCTCTTCCTCCCTCCTCCTCTATTCCCAATCGGTGGACAATTATTATTATTTCTAAAGAAATGTCCCACATAACTGCCCTGTCCTCTCTATTTCCACCCCTACTGTCCCGGTTTGAGAAGATACAACAAAATATTGAGTTTCCTGGCAGTGGGGGGTGGGGTGGGGTGGGGGGACAGCCATTCCCTCTTGAGCATCTCCAGAATCCCCCAACTCCACCTGTTTAAAGCAAGACCCGCTCCAATACATCACATGTTCTCTTCACTGTAATCGGACCTTAGGATTTTCTCCTGTGAATTCCCCTAGTGCATGATCCCCATCCTTATGGTAAATGACACTTTCTACCCTGCATTATAATCATTTGGATGGCTGTGTTTTCTTCCTTAACAGCAAGCAACTCCTTTTGAATGCTACAAGCACAGTACTGTTCCTGACACAGAATGAATGGGTGGTGTTCCTTGTGACAATAGCAACAGTAGCTGCCCGTAATTGAGCAACAGTAGCTGCTCGTAATTACAGGTCAGGCAATGATCTAGATGTTTTACATGTATGAGTCCGACTGTCACAACAATCTTATGCAATAGGTAGTATTATCGATTATTTTATGAATGAGGAAACCGAGACATAAAAGGATTGAATCATTTGTCTAAGGGCAGAAAGCAAACAATGATTGCGCTGGCATTCAAACTCAGGCGATGAGACCCAGAGTCCATGCTCTCAGTCGCAATGACGTGCTATCTTTCCAAGGTCTCAGCGAGCCATTGACAGAGAAAGTAGAGAGAGAACCCTGTACCCACCTTATAATCACTGGGGTGCGAGAACCTGAAAAGCCCCACGTGCACGGGGCTACCAGTGGAGAACCGTGAGGCTTCAGCTAGAACAAGCAGAGTCACTTGATAGCCAGGGCCAGGGAGGGGGCCCTATTCTGAGGCTACTGCCATGGTGACCGGAGTGAGGAGAGAGGTACTTACAAAAGTCAGGGAGTCGCGGTCCAGCGTCTGGTAGTGACACTCGACCAGCAACTCATCTCCCTATTCGGAATGAAACAGGAAGGCTGAGGGTAAGTTGCAGTGGGACAGGGACCAGCCCTGCACCTCCTCCGCCTGCCAACGCCTGTGAGCCCTGAGCCCGCCTGGCCCTCAGCCCCAGCCAGGCCGCCCTGCAGGCTCCCACCGGCTTGATCTCCACTCGACCAGGTAAATCTCGAGTCTCCTGCAGGTTGAAGTCGTAGGAAGCATCTTTACAGATCGTTCGGAGTTGCGTTCCATTTCTAGAGGGAGAGAAGAGGGGGGGACGGGAAGGGGAAGGGGATGAAGTGGGGGAGGGGCCTGTCAATCAGAAGGCCTTGTGTGGGGTCACCCTGGGTCCAGACTGTCCATAAAGCAATTAAGCTCTCTCTCGGGTCCCCCTTCGGTCATCTCTGCTCTGCCGATAGTTCCAGCGGCCCCTGACTCCCAGCCAAGCGTAACCTTGCGCTACAGAATAACTAACTATTCCTAAAACATATTCCCGTATTCCCACACGCAGAAGGGAAAGCTTCAGCTCCACGCAACCCCCACCCCTTACCTGTACTGCACGGCCTGCAGCGCCCGCCCAGTCAGGTGGGTGTGGAGCAGGTAGCCATACACCTGTATGTCGGGCACAGGGGCCCCGTTCATCTGTGACAGGGAAGAGGTGCATCGGCTTGTTGAGAACTGTCACCTGGCCCTGCTCCTTGATTTGCCTTCCTTACTATCTGACCCTAATTCTTAGGACCAACGCAAACCCCTGTGGCCCTTCTGGGCCCTCCTGGCCCGTCTTCCCGCTGCACTTCCCCGGACCGCGAGGCCCGGACCGCGAAGCCCGGACCGAGGCCCGGACCGCGAGGCCCGGACCGCGAGGCCCGCACCGCTCCCCTCCCTCGCAGGACCCAGACTAGCGATTCCCCTGAGCGCCAGGCCGCAGTCGTGCGGAGTCGGGGGCTCGGGCCGTGCGGTGGGGAACCGGGTTTGCCTCCCGGCGTCACCTCTTCAAACTTCTCGGTCTTGCACAGCCCGTAGGACAGGAAGGACTCGGCGCGCGGCGGGATGAAGTGGATGGGGAAGGTGAAGACGCCCAGCTGCAGGACGCCCATGTCGTGCGCGCGCAGCCGCGCCGTGTAGTACATGCGGATCCCCGAGGTGTCGTACAGGCCTGGCAAAGGGCGCAGAGGGGTCACGTGCGGCGAGGAAGAGGCCCAGGAAGGGGGCGGGGGGAGGCAGGGCGTGCACCCCGCAACAGCCTCCCGGGACCTCCACGCTCCACGGGCTCACCGGGACGGTTGTGGAAATTGCTGTAATGAATCTCCAGCCGGATCCACTGGGGGTCCAAGGGCGTCCCAATGGAGACGCCCACGTCGTCTGGGAACTGGTAACTCTGTTGGATGGAGGGAGGTTGGGCAGCCAGAAGGGCCGGGGATCAGGAGCAGGGCCTCATCCCAGAGCCCTCCCTCCGCCATCTCCCGCCCTCCCCGCTTGTTTCCGTCATCGGGGGACTCACGGTGCCCCCGACAGCCCAGCCCACGATGACCTGCGAGCAGAGGGAGAAGGCGGGGTCAGCCCCGTAGCAGTCGCTGATGCCCGTGGGGAGGACGCTGGCATTGCCACAGGCGTACACGAGGATGTGGTGCACTATCGTCTCGTTGTGGTCCATCAGCTTGGGCTCAAACTGGGCGAGGGGAGGGCAGAGCGTGGTCGAGGTCTCCTACGCCAAGTCCTATCCCCACCCCCTTCCTTTTCATCGAGTAACGCTCTACCCGTTCCCCACTTCTCTCTATTTCTTCTTCTTCTTTTCCACATTCTTTATTCTTCCCCAATCTATCATTTCCCCCCCACTCTGTCTGACTCCTCTCTGAGGCCCCATCCTTTCAAACCCTTCCCGGATCAGGCCGTGCCTTTCCCTTAATAACCTCATCAGTCTATGCTATCTGAGCACTTGACCACCCCCAGCTGGATTCTCCCGCTACAGGAAAAATGCCCTCCACACATTTGCCACTTCTCGTAAGATCACACTTTGAGTTCCCTCTCACCAGACTTCCCCCGACGTGACATGACGGCCCTTGGCCACGTCCCCCCTACTGGGATAAGAGCACAATTCTGGGGTGCGGGTGGGGCTTATACTTTGTTCTTCGCAAACACGAATTAATCCATGACCATCATCAAAACCTCAGATGCATTATGGGGCTCGAACTCATCAGTGATGGGAGCTATCGTTCTGGCTCAAAACATCATGAAGCCACCACCTCACCAAACCTGGTCTGGCCCCCTTGTTAGCCCCGTGACTTCCCCTCCCGCGCTTGTCTGATCGTCACCACTGCCTCCGCGTCCACCACGCACAGTGCACCTCTCAAGCGCCCTGACGATGTCCTGGCATCCGGTTCACGTTACCTTGTAGATGTGATGTTTCTTGCTGACGATGGGGAGGGGGAGGAAGGTACAGGCATACGTGGTGTCATCCTCTGGGATGAGGAACTGGAGAAGGACACACAGAGGCTGGGCTGGGAGCGAGGCTCCCTGGGAAGTGGAGGAAGGGACGGGCTGGGGAAGGGGGTTCAGGTTCAGGCCAGTCTGGCCATCCTCAGGGGACTGAGGGAGATCAGAGAAACCTCACTTCAAGAAATGTACTGAGTCTTGGGTACAAGAAGAGTCTGGACTTAGTGAGAAGATGAGCAGGGGGCTGGAGAAGGCCGGGTCTGGGGAGGGGTCTTACATCAGTGATTTCCAAGTCATGGATGATGGCGTCCTCAGGGGCATCCAGGTCATCTGGGTGGACCACTTGTAGCAGGAAGATGGACTTGACGAAAGCACGCCCCTGGTCCATCTTGAGTGTGTCATCCAGGCCGTAGGCCGCCAGCACCCTCACGGTGTCACCCTGGGGGTGTCGTGGGCACTGAGGTCGCGCGCACCCACGCCCAAGGACCCACACAAGCCACCGGCTCACGTCTACACGGTGGAATGGAAAGGGCTTCAGACTGGGGTCAGCATTAGTCGGGTTCTAGTTCTGCCTCAGAAGCCAACGTGCGGGAGACGCTCAGAGCAAGTCGCACGCCCTCTCGTGTACCCTCTCTCTGCCTGTGTCCACATCTGGCAAATGACACTCTAAAGGTCAGCAAAATCGAGCGAGATTCTTCAAGAGGGGAACACTGGGGAGGGCTGGGCGGGCGCCGAGTCACTGGGATGTCACCCTGAAGAGGGCTTGTGGATTTTAAGAGGGGCGCAGCCTGGGCAGACTGGGGAAGTTGGAGAGAGATGTGAGTTCTAGGAACTGTGACCAGCTGCCTGAGATGCACGGACACTCCAGCCTCTCCAGAAGGAAAAGCTGCTCGTGATCCAGTGCGTCCCTCCCCTCCCTAAAGTACCGTGATGTCTAGGTCGTGAGGGTCGCAGGAGCGGAAGGGCCTGGAGAAGCGCATGGTGGTATAGACAGCGTCTTCCGTTAGCCCCAGCAGCTCGGCGTCCTGACGCCCGTCCTCCTCCAGGGTGTCTTCATCCACTAGGTGCTGGTCCTGCGGTCCAGTGAAGGTCAAGCGGGTAAGAACCGGGAGCACCAAGGGGTCGTGACTTAGGAGCAACCGGTGTCCCTTTAGCCCCCACCCAAGGTACTAGGTTGGCAGAACCCAGATCATCTTCATTATGTAGTTGGCTCCCGGGGCAGAGTATGTCATCGAGAGTGGAGCCTCAGGGCAGAGAGACAAGCTGTCTGACGGAGTGTCACCACCTGGTCTTGCTTTACTTCTCCCGTTTCAAATCTCATCTCCATAAATCCTAATATTCCTGTATCCCTAACCCCGACAGTTCACTGAGTCTCGGAACTCTCTACGCTTTTCATCCTGTATCACGTCACATGGGTCTTAACATTGACACTTTCCCATAGAAGTGCCGTTCAGATGGATGAGATTGGGAGATGCGTGAGCCGCTTCTTTACCTGTAAAATGGGGTCACAGTCATCCACCTCATGATGCTGCGAGGTTTAAAATGTAAAGAATCGGGAACAACGCTTGGTTAATCAAAAGGGCATAGCAAGGTAACACTATTAGGAATGTGTTGGCTGCTGTCGTTATTAGACTATTTTATGTCGTGGTCCACCTGAGCTTAAAGGAAGTTGAGGATGAGGACAGTATCTCTGACAGCCGTGAGCTACATCTAGTAGTGCGGGATTCTCTCTCCGGTGGGTCCGTTCCTTAGCACCTCAGGGACATGCTCTCCAGTGGATCATTTCTGTAGGGAGAGGTCAGCCGCCAGCGGGTGTTCTGGATTTGTTTGGAACATGTGAATCCTTCCTGGACTCAGAGTCATGGTAAACCCCAGCAAGAGACCCTCATCCTTGGAAGAAAGTCACCCTCAGACTTACCGAGAAATAGACATTGCCATTGGGCAAGACTGCTCCCACAACAAGGTCACCTCCCACGTTGGTGTAGCGATGCGTGACACCCAGGCCCACCCAGCCAGCCGTCCGGACCTGGAGCTCAAAAGTGATGACCTCAGCCTCCAGGTCAAAGTCCCAGCGCAGGAAAATGACATTGGAAGGATCTAGGAACCTGGAATAACGCAGGCGAGGTGTGGATCCGAGGCGGTTGCCTTGGGAGGGGGCTGCCAGCGCTGTAAGCAGGAGAAGCCTGAGGAGAAGGACACGGGCCATGGCTCCCGGCACCTGGAGCATCTCTCCTGCGGGCGAGCACTCCAGAAGGGTGGACTTATATGTGCCTCTCCCTGTGCCAGGCACCGCGCCATGAGGGAGGGACAGACCGGGGCTCTTCTGATCTGATTATCCCCTGGGTTCAGAGTGGTGCCACTTACATAACCCCGGAGGTGTGAGGTGTCCAGAGAGGGTGCAGAGCAGGTTGCTCTTGTCCTGGAGCGCGGACCTGGCCTGGCCTTAAAGTCTCAGGAGTAAATCATTCAGAGTCTTCGCCCCAACTCCATGCCAGTGTCCTGCCAATGGGGGCCCCACAGAATCAAGGGGTTTAGTTCCCCCCCTTCCTCTTCTCTCTCTCCTCTCCCTCCTTTCCTCCCTCCCTCTCTCTCCTTCCATCCCTTCTCTCCCTTCCTTTCCCCCCACCCCTGTATCCTTGGATGCCCTTACCGATGAGCACTCTGCCCTCTGGCACGTGTCCCCCACCCCCATTTTGTGGGCATTTTTGATTTCATCTATGTACAGAATGGGGGCGCTAGCAGCTGTGCAGTGGGGCTGCACGTGAACCTGCCCATCAGCCTCCCCGGTGCAGCAGGGAGGAATGAAGTGGCCGGGCGTGGGGAGGGGAAGGTCGTGATTTCCACCTCCTGGGGGAGACTTTGCCACTAATCCCGGAAAGGACACGTAGAGGTGAAGGAGCCATAATCAGCTTCCAGATGGGCCAGTCTGGGGAGCTCTGAGTGTCTGCACGTTTCTGGGGAGGAGCAAGGAGGAAGAGGAGGCGAGGGGGAGAGGCGGGAGAGGGTGGGGAATGAACGTGCCTTTGGGAGGCTTCGTGTTGTATCCTTCCTCCCGCAAATTGCCTTTCAGAGCAGTTGCATTCAATGACTCTCCGCTGAGGTCTGGCCCCGTGACTCCTCCCCGCCCCCCAGGTCAGCACATGGGTGCTGTGCAAATAATACAAGTGCAGAAGGAATGTTATAAGATTAGAAGAGTACAAAGGAATTTTAGATCCACTTAATTTTCCAAAAATTCCAATCCATTTCATTTTTAGACGAGGCGATGGGAACGCCCAAGGGGTAACGTGAGTGGCGCCTGACCGCCGTCGGCCAGAGGCAGAGCGGACCTGGGACACGGGGCCTGGCCATGGGGCCAGTGCTTTCTCCAGCACTCCTTTAGGTCACGGACGCCCGCAGGACGTCGGCCCCCTGCCAAGCGTTTCCGCCCCAGCTTGTCCTGGAGGTAGTCGTTGCTGACCGCTTCCTAGGGAGTGGACCAAAGTCTCACGTCAGACTCGGCTGACCCGGAGCTGGGAATCAATCACCTCACTGAGCCCCAGTGTCCTTCCTCCATTAGACAATGGAGAGGCTCGGGAAAATGAACCCAGACACGTGCCCGCAGCAGCGTCTCTGGCACAGAACCTGGACCGCGCATCTCCGCGCAGGCATCCAGCTCAAACGCGGGTGCATGCGCCAGAGCATCTGTTTATGCCTCCATCCAGGCACGCACGTCTTCTTAGTACCTCCTGAGTTCTTTAAGCTGGATGGGACCCAGCTGAGGTCGTTGGCAGCTGCCTCGAGCGCCTGAGCAGTAATTGGGGTGCGGTGGGGGAGAAAACACATTTCCCGAGGGGGCAACCATAACGCCCAACTCTGGGCACAGGGGAAGGTAGAGAGCTAGGCAGCCATCTGGAAGGCAGAGGCTTACCTCGGCCCAGGACGGGAGCCGGGCCAAGCCCATAGGAGCCTGGGGAGGCGACGACCTTGAGGAGCAGGAATTCAGGGAGGAGATAACGGGACTGTCAGAGACACTCTGATCCCAATCGCGTTTGGGGATTAAGCCTCAGGAAGGAGGTGGCTGGGAGAGAGGACAGCCAGCCCTGAAAACTGAGATGGGCCCAGGATCTCTCATGCTGCGGTCTGTCCAACAGACCAGAGCGCCGCCGGGCTCAGGGAGAGGCTGGGGCCTCCGACTGCGCCTCAGGGAATCTGCCCCCGGCGTCCCTGGCTTCCCATGAGGCCTTTCT